CCCCAAAACCCCAAAACCCCATCAATCAGAATTCATATGATTGCATAAACCTTAAATAAAATAAAGCCACGTAATTATATTAAAATCATTAATTAAGCATTGGCTCACATAAATGTAATCAGGCACAATAATCAGATATAACGTTCAATCCAAGGAAGAGCTTGCTAAAATCTTTCTAGATCCCAATACTAGGTAATTATGGGATTAAAGTAGCAGCTCAATAAATATCAGATCTAAGAACACTTTCATCGAATTAAGTAAAAATGGAATCTAAAATAAGATGGTTTTATCCCTTGCTTCTGACTAAAAGGGCTGGCTCTATGTTAAGTAAACAGCACTTGAATAATCAAATGAAGGAAATATTAAACCCACTTATTTTTTCTTGAAAATAATAGAAATTTAGAGATACGATAATATGCTATTTCTTACTGTTTATATTGGGAAGTAATTTTTAACTTAGATTTCAAATTTAATTTTAGATTGACTCAAATAAATGAAGAATAAAATACAAGATTCTCTTTCCCAGAAGACATTACTTAAATATTCAAGCAGACTTGCTAAGATTTTGACAAAATAGTGAAGTCTATTGACCCGGAGATCAATCGTAATTAAATTTAAAACCCAGTAAGGTATTTCAATTAAATCAAGGAATAGGAAGATATCTAAGTAATCAAAGAAAAGGCTAAAGTTGAAAAGCCTAAAAAGTCTAATAAGTCTAATGAAAACAAAGCTTAAGCTAAGAAGAAAGATGAAGGTATAGATCTATTTAATGATGAAAATATTTAGAGCTAAAAATATCTGAAAAGGAGAAATAAGATCACTCTACTGATGAACTTAATAAGTTGAAGCTCTCACTTGAATATTAAAGTATGCTAAAGATAATTTACTCTTATTTAGAAATTAGAACAGAAGCGGAATAAAAATTGACACATATCGACAGTGTAATTAACTATCCTGACTGGGAGATGGTGACTGAAGACAAGAAAAAGAAATTTGTCTAGTATAAAAGAGTCTCTGAAAGAGGTCATAAGTCTCTTAAAGTGGAATTCATTTCACACTATAGCCTTGATTATGTGGTTAAAATGTTCTTCGACGAAGGATTCCAATAGAAAATGAATGAAAAAGTTGAGTATCAGAAAGTAATGGAAACTATAGTTCCTGATGAGACAGAGATTATTTATTAGAAGATGAAGAAGATGCCTTTCTTTTCAGAAAGGGAAATGCTTTTTGTGAGGCACAGACATAGCATTGACGAGAAAACCTATGCATTCATTATATATTCTATCTAAAGAGATGACTTAGTAGCCTAGAATAAGGATGTAGTGAGGGTTTGGGTGGAATTTATATCTTACAAGCTTGAGGCTATTGATAGTTCAAGTACCAAGATCACACATACATTAGAGATGGATATGAAGAGTAAAATACCTGATTTTGTGATTAATAAGATCCACAAGGAGATGGGCTAGAAGAGAGCTGCTCTTGATCAGAGTATTCAAGAATATATTAAGGAATAAAATAAAAAGAAAAAGTGATTGTAATAGTCAAGTATCTGATAAACTCCAGCTTTTATCAATATTCTAAGTTAATTCGATAATAATCTTTCAATTAAATTTAACTTTGATATAATCAATCAATCGTTAAATTCTAGTAGATATGGGGTTTTGGGGTTTTGGGGTTTTGGGG